AAGAAAAAGCAACATTTGAAGTGAGAAAAGATAAAGATAAAAAAATGATGAAAATAAAACAGACAAGAAGCTATATCATGATTAACAAATTCTTCAATCGTTTATTTATTCCATGCAAAAAATATAATTAAACTTTCGATTTAGTTCAATGGGCCATTTTCAACACTAAAATAATATAAAAGAAATTTTCAACTATTGTGTAAAATGTTTTTTCCTCTTTGTTTGTTTTGTAAATATTGCACTACGATGATATTATTGCTTGTCTTTACCATGAAAGCAGTAGCAGATCTAGGATTTTTGAAGGGATGAGCGATCATAGATAAGAATCGACTTTTGGAATAACCCGAGGTGGTATAAATTCATTTTCTCTTCTGTTTTTCCCAGGAAAAATCAAAAATTTCTTTCAGAAGGGGGAAGGCAATCGCTCCCACTCCCCCCTTCAAATCCACCACTGTTTTAAAGCTTCATTGTATTTCTTTATGTGAAATAAATAAGCGATTAATAAATTCGTTTACCTTACAATTACTTATTCACAGATATTTCATCAAGCAATATTTGTATTTTAAGCAAGAAGGAAAGAAAACAAGAAAACTGTATATTTGACACCCTCACCCTCAATTTTGAATAAAACTGGTTTCACATACCACAGCGAACTAGATTGTAATTGTGATTTATATGACATGGTTTCTAAAAATATCACATAGTCTACTAAACAAATCATCGTCATAGCTCATCATCATCAGTTATTTGGAAGAGAAAGTTTTCCATGAAGTTATAGTTCGTAGCACTGCATCATTTAATGAAGAACCATGCTTTTCCTGCCAATGTGTATACAATGTCATCTATTATCTTTCAGCAATTCTTGTAGTACGTAATTAAACTATGAAAGGATGTATGAGGAGGAAATCATTATCAAAACCTTACTATTTCTAAAGCTTTTTTAAAAAACCGTTTACATGACTCTGTTGATGAAAAGTGATTTTGAAGCGATGAAAGGCTTATAATTTCACTACTTGACTCATCAAATAGTTACTTAAAAGGGAAACGACGAATGTCCAGGATTCAGAATCACTGAAACTGCAACGAAAATCACAAAACTCTTTGGAATACACAATCCTTCGTTTATCTGTGGGATACATTGATACTGATATCTCTCAAACCTATGTGGAATTTTGTTTTAGTCATAGATATATAGCAGATGATGCAAAACAATTGTACAGATCGAGAAGCTTGAGTTCAGTACATGCCTGGTTGCCTATGTGATTATATAAAATTCTGGAAAAAGTTGGTGGTTCATTTGATCTTATTGCTCATATAAATGTAAGAAAAATGTTGCTACTAGTGAATATTTCAAGTTATTCAAGCAACGATAGGAAGAATTTCCTTGTATATAGAATGATGTCCTGATTGTCTGTAGCTGATATAGTAGACAAGTAATGGTAAAACCATTTTTTTGACCACAATTTTTTCAAAAATAAATTACATATGTAGAATAAACATTGAATTCTGAGCGAAATGAGGTATTCTTTCTGAAAAAATCACTTTCGGTTTTTTGGAACCGCTGGAGAATCGCAGAAATCTCGAAAAAAATTTTCGTCAAATATAATGAAATATATATCATCAGATGCAGAATTTAATGCTAATTCTGAATTTTGAATCTAAATTTGTAAAAAACGCAAGATTAACTGAAAGAAACCCGATTTTCAGATGATGATTATAAAAATTACTTTGGATTTTTCCTATTAACTGACCTCAAAATGTCATTAAAATCATAATTGAGAAAATGACATGCACAAAAAAAACCGAAATGAAAAAGTATATGAAGAAAATCATTTTTCAATGTTGATCAAGTCGTTTATATAAAGGAAAATCTTGGATAATATTTTAGTTGATTTAGATGATGTTGTCATTCTTATTTGTTGCTATTACAATTGGATAAACAGCAGCATTTCTTCGAGCAAGTTTCAATACATTTTTGAAATGTTTGCGAATAGTACTATGGATAGTTAGAAAAAGATAAAATGTACGCGTGGCATGCTTTGTACAGTTCATGAGAAGATTCAAAAACTATATGGACTAACAATAAACAATGACACTATTGATGTAATTGCAAGTATTATGGATAATTGTCTTTCTGATCGTTTATTTATATTATTAGTCGCAATAACTCCAATTTGTGGTTTTTAAATATAATATAAAATGAGAATATCATCAATAAGCATACATATATCAAGTACAAATAGCATTTAGACATAAATCAATAACTGAATAAACATTATTCATATATGGATCATAATAATGAGACAACATCCTCCATCATTTTCTGGTAATGATACAGGTTGTGTACCAAATAATAAAGTGCATTGAGTTCAGTAACCGTAAAGAAAAAGTAAAACGATGAATATCGAAATAACAATGAACAATTTTAAAACTTGGATATAATCGATCAAACATAGCTATTATGGGTGTGGATGTGGGTAATTTAAGGAGAATAGACCATATCCACATCCACTCCTACCACGACATCCCATACCCTACATACACACTCTATTATTCTTCTAATAATTGACAGTTTGTCATAGAATGGAATCAAATAGGAATTAATAAATGAAAACAAAAATTTATTTCACAGTGGTATAAAATATTTGAAAGTTTTAGACGTTTCGACACTTGTATCACTTCGCTGTCAATAATAGCGAAAAAAATCATTGAATTTCATCGAAAATAATAAAATAATTAAATCAATTGAATTTTCATATTAACACCAGAGTGACAATGAATATTACAATGAAATAAAATAAAATTATAATAAATCATAATATATTTATGATATTCACACTCGCACCATAATTCGATGATTTTTTTCTTTTTTTATTGAAAATGGCCTGAAGCAAGTGTCAAAACGTATAAAACTTTCAAATATCTTGTGCCAATGTAAAATAAATTTTCATTTTCATTTCTTTGTCAATTTTTTTTCATAGTGTGCAGGAGTAAGAGAATCTTACATTTATTTTTTTTTTTCATATAACTTTCGATTTGAAATTTTTTTATAAAAAGATTTTGTGTTTTCAAGATAATAATTCACTAAAAACGTTGAGATTTGATTACTAAATAAAAACGCAATGTTATCGATGAATTTATTAAAACTATATGAGATTTTAGAAGACAATAATTAAATTTAAAACAAACAAAAAAGAGATTGTTAAGATGATAGATGTCTTATGTATTTTTAAAATTAACTTTGCTATGTATGATTTTTACTCAGTAACTCAAATACTACACCCGAAGATATAATAATGATTCCTGTAGATTAATACATTAAGATTACTCTTTCATATGGGCATCTTTGTAAATTGATGATAAATACTGTACACTCCATGAAAGACTGGTTGCTTCAAACATATCAAAAAAGTATCTATCTGAGAACTGAATATTAAAGAAAAGGAATTTAAAGTTACATGCTTTGAATAGGGGTGGGAAGTTACCGTTACGTTCCCAGGTAACTGGGAACGGAAAAGTTACCAGTTACCTGGGAACTGGGAACGGTCCCGTTACCGTTACCTGGGTAACTGGGAACGGTGGAGTTACCAGTTACTTTTTCCTGGTAACTTCTCAAAAAGACGTATTATCACTTCTAGCCGACCGAACATCATCAATGCATTATTTATTCACTTGACCCGTTCCCAGGTAACTGGTAACGGTTATCCGTTACCAGTTACCCTGGTAACTCCAAACTCTGTTTAATGATGTATTGACGATATTCGGTAGAATGGAAGTGATAGTTCATCTTTTTGAGAAGTTCCCAGGAAAAAGTAACTGGTAACTCCACCGTTACCAGTTACCCAGGTAACGGTAACGGGACCGTTACCAGTTCCCAGGTAACTGGTAACTTTTCCGTTCCCAGTTACCTGGGAACGTAACGGTAACTTCCCACCCCTAGCTTTGAATGAGAAATATCGATGGATAATTTTATAGTTTTTTGATTTATTTCGAAGTGAATGAAAATATTGTTCAAGAATAATTCTAGTTGTCCAGCAAATTATGTTCGGCTATTTTCTGTCGTAACAGGGGTGGGTGTGGGTGTAGCGAAGAGAAGACAAATCCAAACCCACACCCACATTGGACGAGATATTCAATACCAAACGAGAAATAAATGAAGTTTACTGCATCATCTAAACATACGATAGAAATAAAAAATGAAGTGAACAAGTAATAGATTTTATTTGTCGAAACGCTTAAATACAAATGAGAAATCTTGACACAAACAAAAGGTCTCATTTGCTTCAAATAGCATTACCACCTATTTATAAACATTGTGTTGGCTCCAAAATGGAACATCTAAAAATGTGTGATAGGTGATAGAACGACGAAGATTGTTATCAGCATTATTCTACAACATATAGATGAATTTGGTTTTTGACACGCAACTCTTGCATTCAAAATAAAGCTTCCAAATTTTATGAAAATGTTATATAAACTTCAAATATTGTCGCCACTAGTATGTGTTTTATAACTTGTCGATGTGAATTATTTTGCTTCTCTCTGCTTGAAAGTTTCACGATCGTAAAATAAAAACAATGCCATAGTGTCGAGCAATTAAGACAGATTTTTTTTCTAACAGAGAAAAAGAAAGAGCGAACGGTAAACCAACAAGTGAGTCCATTAGGAGAAAAAAAAGCATTTTTTGCTTCTAATAACGAAGAAAACATTTCATTTTTATATTTCTCATAATGTAGGTATAGGCTAACTAACAAAGGAAATCTATTAGACCATTAATATATAGATATATATAAAGCTAAGCAAAACATCGTTCTCATATAATTATTTAACTAAGTAGCTGATATTTATATTCTACAGTGATTTTGTAGGACAAGTCATGTTTTACTTCATTAAACGAAGTAATGGAGCCTTTGTCATTTATTTGACAATAGTTCAAGGTACGTAATATTATTCATGTTTGTTCGAAATATTTCATTTGTGTATTTTTAAAAGTTATGAGAATGTGTGAATGTCTTCAATGTTATGCCTGTAGTGGACGAGATGAATGTGGTATTTCATTTTCACCGAATTCGAGTACTACGAAAAAAGTTCAATCTCAAATAGATGGATTCTTCGATGTTTGTTCAGTAAATAGTTTTAATAATCAACAGAAAATCAGATTTTATCAATGATTTATTGTTTATATTTGATTTAGATAACTGTGGATTCAGAGGGCATTACAACTCGTGCCTTAATGCTTTCGTACAGATGTAAAAGCTCACCATATCAATTTTGTTGTAAAGAAGATTGGTGTAATTATCTTCCTTCACCACCACTTCCTGCACTAACTTCACTCAAATGTAAAATTGATCATTGCTCGTCGCAAAATAATAAATGTGAAGGTACTTCTTATGTTGCTACTCTTAGCAGTGCTACTGAGTCTTGTATGGTAAGCGAATTAGTAACAACATACTTTTTTATATGAATTATTTATAATGACGCGTAATAATTTTCTTATTTCTGAGTGAGAAGAGACAAAATATCTGAATCTTTTGATCTAAATGATTTCATTGTTATCTTCTCTGTAAATAGCTGGAAGACAAGAAGAAGTGCTTATGATAACATGATTGTGGAAATATAGTAAGTAAGCTAGTAACGGAAAAAATTCTTGAAATATGGATAAGAAATGATAATATACATAATTTAGATAGTCTTGGCTATACAACAGTTAAATATTTACGAGATGTCTCTACTGAAACTAGAAGCAACAACAAGAGAAGAGAAATAGGTGAGCAGTAATAAAACTAGAATGGTTGTGGGTATGAATGTTCATCTTATCTTTACCCACAACTACATCCTGAAGCTATTGAAAAACCATACTATTCTGAAATTCTACGGTATGTAACGTAAAACAGGGTATTCAATATTAAATATGAGGAAAAAAGCAGCAAGCTTCAAACACAGTGACTTCAAATTTCAAGAATAGGCATGTACCGAACTCGGGTATGCACCGATTTTTGCGGATTCGGTCATTCCCTGGATTTAACCATTCCCGAAGTTCGATCATTGGGAATACCCTTCGGTCCTCAAGTACTACTATTGAGAGGTATCCTTGAGTCCTCAGCGGTTAGTCTAGAGGGTACCCTGAGGTCCTAAAGGACTACTATAGGGTGGTGCCCATGGATCCCCAATCCTATGATCGGTCCTAATATGGTCATCACTTGCTCTTACAATAAGAGAGGAATGCGCTACCGAAACCAGATTACTCCATTTTGTGGACCAATGAAATGACGAATTTCTATTTCTTAGTGTTGCGATGGGTGAGAATCCACACATATATCCATCAATCGATAGAGGATCCTCGATAACCCTAGAATTGGTTCGAAAATGCTTATGTGCTCTCTTAATAGTAAGATTGGGAAACCATCCTGAAAGCACAGACAAAAATATGGCGGCTTCTGGTCACCGTAATGCTCGATCTGAGAAGCATTTTGTGTTTGCATTTAGTAGCAGCTCATCATTTTAAGGAATGAAATAGTTCCTATTCAGAGAAGAAGACTGATCCGCAAGAGTATTACAGAACCCAAGAAGTTCGTGCACAGAGGGACCTCTAAAGGCATCAGTACACCTAAGATTAAAATTTGAACTTCCATGGATATCTTCCAGTAGTAAGACCCGTATGAATTAAAATCTAATTTTGGATTGAGAGTGAAAACAATTTCTTCGAAAAAAATCTGCATAAAACGAAGTCTACTATTATCTCCCTTATGAGGAAACGAATATTGACGTAGAGTGTGGATGTTTGAATGAAGTAATGAAATATTTTTCAGGGAACATGGAAAGCATCGGACGACGCTGTACTTCAGTCATACAAGAAGAAATGTTTGCCTGGTCCATACGCTGTAGTTATGGGTGAAAATGTTTTGATAGGAGAATCTTTTTGCTGCAATTATCCTGAATGCAATGAAGTACCTGTACCTTCCAAGTTGGCTATTAAATGTTACATGTGCGATTCACGTATAAATGGTTTGACGGGATGTAGTACATTAGATATATTGAACCCATATGTGTATGAATCTGGTTCATCAAATTCTTTCGAAGCCTGTGCTGTGAGTATCTTAAAAGAATACTAAAATAAAAAACTATTAAAATTCTAATATCAAACATAATACTATCTATTTTAAGACTATAATTGGTGTAGAAGGACAAGATCCACTTACTAATATCAGCTATTCAGCCTTTACGATACGAACAATTATTGCGCATTGTGAGAATCAATCATTAGGTATTGTTTCTTATGGTGGTGCTACTTTTCGGGGTCGTATCAATTGTTGTTGGACGAATCTTTGCAATGTTGAAAGTGAGTCATCATAGATATGTGAAATTTACAATACTTATTTCACTACCATTGAAGTATATTAAAATTGAGGGATTCATTAAAAATACTTAGGGTAGTCAGAAAGTGGTGAGAGTTATATCTTAATGTCTTATAGTAAGATGAATTAGAATTTCTTTTGATATGAAACGATAGAGAGAAAAATACGCTATCTTTCTATGTTATTTGATAACAGTTTAGGTAATATTATGAGCTTCTTATTTTTTTTCTTATGCTCTGTTTGCTTCTTTCTTTCTCTTCTCAGATTTGTTTCTATGTGTACTAATATACATACCTTTTCCCTATTTGTAAAGAAATTTTGTCTACTAAGGTTTCGGTAGTAAAGTTTCTGATATAGTGACTCAGTGGTCATGTGCCGATCCATGTAACTGTCTCTTGTCTAGTGTCACATGGACATTCTAGAACTTTCAATTGTACTCTTATCTTTTCGGTCATATCAAGGTGTTCTTGAGCAATGTTCTGGAATGTTCTATTTCAGACACTATATATACCTGTCCTTGTCACTGTATCCCTTAGTTGCTTTATCTTTTACTTCTCAGTCAGTTACTCTATACGGTCAGGTTTAGACTTAAAATCGCTGATTTTTATTACAAATGGATAAAGAAAACTATTGTTCTACATCGAAGTACGTTGCGTACTTAGCATTTCACTAATCATTATTCACGATGAATTAACCACAGTTTTCGCCGATGAAGCTGCATCCTATGCGACTGCCGTAAGATGGGCTCAATGATTCCGCGAAGGTAGAAAGAAGATCGAAGATGGAGCTCGACCAGGAAGACCAGTAACAGAGACGGCTGATGAAAATATTGAACGAATTCATAGTGCTATTGATGAAGACCCTTATATTACAATCGAAGAGCTGCAAGAATATAGTGATCTCAGTTATAGAACTATTCACAAAATAATCTCGGATCATTTGAAACTCAGAAAAGTTATTGCTCGATACGTACCCAAGCATTTGATCGTTTCTGAGTGGACTGAACGAGTTCGAATATGCAAAGAAAATTTAGCAAAATTCGAACAAGGAGTTTGAAGATTATGTGATGTGGTGACAGGGGATAAATCTTGGTTTTATCAAAAAAATATTGGGCGAAAAGCATCGATTTCTGCTTGAGCAGCAAAGGGGATCTACCGCCAACAATTGATCTTCGTAGTCGTTTAGCTCCGAGAACATTGTTATACATCTTTTTTAAGTCAACAGGTCCGATTCTTATCCATCGTATCGAAGCTAGGCAGTCTATCGATCATCAATATTACATGGAGAATTGTTTGCAGCCTCTCATCGATGAAATCAAGAACCAAAGGCCTACGTCTGGAACACATTTTGTGAAAATACACTATGACAATACTAGACCGCACAGACATACACGCTTGTTGGATTATCTGCAATCAGAAAGGATCACGATAGTGCCATATCCACCTAATCCTCCCGATCTAATACCTTGTGCCTTTTGGTTGTTCGACTTGATTAAACAAAACATAGGTGATCAAAGCGATTCCAACTCCCTACATCGTGTTGTGATGGATTTCATGTAAGGACGCCAAAGCATAGAAAAGATATAAAAGAAAGAAGAAAGCGGAACAGAAGAAAAAAAATATAAGAAGCGAATGTATATCAATGACTATATGTACTGTCGTAACCAAAACACATAATACCAAAACTAATCTTCTGAAAACTTTTCTATCATAATATTACCTAAACTGTTATCAAATAGCATAGAAAGATAAAGTATTTTTCTCTCTATCGTTTCATATCAAAAGAAATTCTATTTCATTTTACTATTAGACATTATGACATAACTCTCACTACTTTCTGACTGCCCTAAGTATTATTAGTTTCATCGAAACTCAGCCATAGTATGAAAATTTTTACAGAAGATGAACAAACTCTTCATTTTCTAGTATTTTTTTTATTCCTCGAAACAATATAAATAAAACAGTAATTAATTATACATGAGTTCGACACAAAAACTATTCGTTTTTTAGAATATAGAAATAGTTAAATTTCTTCATTAGAATCAATGATAACTGTTTAAGACACTGTCCTAAAACGTTTTTGTTATTAAGAAAATAAAAAAAAACTTTGAAATATCTTCTGCCACTGAACTCTATGTTCAGTACAATGTTTTCACTATTCATAATTTAAACAGAAGTTTGGTCAAAGAAATACAAAGCTCAAAAAACTGATTATGTCGCAGTGTGTCCAAAAACTTTCGTCTTGAGACCTGAATCTGGCAGTTCAAATTGATGATATAACTTATACGATATAATAAAATCGTTGGATCATTACTGAATCACCAAGTTTCTAAGACTTTTCATTTCATCTTAGTGGAATTATTTCATCTTCTCTTCAGTTTAGATTATCTTACAAATATATTTTTAATTATTTATTAAACATCTTTCAATAGAATTCAGTACAAGCGAACTCATCTATTGATTTATTTCATATTTCCCTTCTTTTTATTTTCTAGACTTAAATATTCATTGGACATCGACAGCAATAAACGAGACAATAATAGCAGAGGAATCAAAAATAGTTGAGACAACAATAACAAGTTCAACATCAACAAAAATATCTGGACGCTCTCTTTCTAAAAGCATTATTAGCGCAGTTGTAATGGTCTTGTGTTTTGCTCTATTGATAAGCATTGGATGGGCTATTTATCAATGGAAGCAATTAAAAACTAATCGTGACTACACCCGTGTCCTTGTAATGCCAGATACTAGCATGAATCACGACGACCCTCATCCTAGTGCCTCACCTTATATGAGTTCCATTTACGAAACGATTTAAAATAAACTGAGATTGTTTTGTTTCGTATATTCTTGGCAGAAACGCAACATAAATATTACAAGAAATCATGAAGTAGCCAACAATGACTGATAAGCAATAGACAAGCAAATATTTTCGTTTTTGTGTAAGAGAAAGAAAAACAGAAATAAAAGATTGATACATAGAATGACCCTCTCAGAGTGATAAATGTATCATGTGTTTATTCACTGGATATATTTTCTAGCATCGTCATGTTTCGCAAAGAATATTCTTTCACTTGTACCATTTTAATGTATGTATTATTTAGGAAAGAATAATGCACGTTACCACCAATATACAATATTGTCAGAATAAAATATACGTACTTCTGTAATAGACAACCTTTATATCGTCTTCAATATTCATGAGTACAATTGTTAAAGCTACTGTGCGAGATATCTCTGTCAATGGTTAATCATAGAATTTCATCGAAAATTTTTCATTGAATGATTAATTCGCACTAATTTATCATATCAGTGGCTTCCATATGGAGCACTTATGTATTAAATACTCATTTTGAGATTTAGTTCATATAACAAGATATGCACAAAGAGGCATGAATCATCTATTGCTCATGAACAATACTACGTTTCTACTCATGATCTGAATAGTAACAAGCCAAAGAGATGATTCTTTGAACACTAAAGGTCTCTTCTTGCTTTTTGAATTCGAAGGAAAAGAAATGAAATATCTACATGAAAAATAATAATATTTTGGACGACCTTCACTAAAAAAATGCAGCTTGTATGCTGCTCAATCGATGAAACCTAGCAGGGACCGATTATTTATAGCAATTTTTCTTTGAAAATTACAATTGTTACGCTTAATGAGAAGATCCAATAATGCATAAATGATCAAAAACGTACGTATATTTTATGTCATTATGAATCGAAGCTGCTTTTTACTAAAATTAATGATGAACCGATCAGTTTCTTGTACACCAGTGATGAGTACGATCGATTTTCAAAAGATACTAATGAAAAACGGTTTTCAATGACCGATTACTTTTGAACTGGGACTATTTTCAATCAGCGGGATCTGACAAAAAAAATTCTATAGAGCAATGCCAAAAGCTTCATCTTTGTTGCTGAAAAGGTTAATTTTTAGTAGACTTTTCCTGTGAGGCTTCAGTTTTTAAGCAAAGTTATGGTTAAGAATTTTATCATAAGTCTAGTCTAGAAAAATCTATTAATAAAACTAGTTTGTAAAAAGGTTCAAAACTTTTCAGCAAGTATATCTAAGATATGCAGCTTTCAAAAAAATTTATATTGTTTTTTTCCAGTTTAAAAAAGTTGAATGTTGAAGTAAAAATTCTCACATACGGTTTCGCTTGGAAAATTCTGAAAGAAAGCTCAGTAACTCAGTAACAAAAAGGTAACCTCTTGAATCGTTCTAAGATATTTAAATACTTAGGAGGCTCTTCCCATTGAATATAGTCTTTGTTTAAAACAGATGTATGGCTTTAAAATCTTTCCTTGTAAGGTTTTTTCTGTCCGAAGTGATCTGACATAATTAACTCCACAAATGTAACAATTCTGTTGCGTTCGGTTAATTTTTGAGAGATACTTGAACATAGATAGAATTTGAGCCTGGTAATTTTCTGTTCAATTTACATCTAGCAAAGTAACCTGACTGTTTGTTCAAATTCCTCTTTATTTAAAAGTCACGTTAAAAATATGTATTTTGATAGAATCGTTATGATGAATCGACGAATTTACCGCACTCCCAACGGCCGTTTTTAATGCGACCATTAGCGTCTTTCATTTTACCGTAACCATGCCTTAAATTGTTTTTAAAAGAACCTTGATATTGAATACCATCTGGCTTTGTAAATGTTCCTTCTCCGTTTTGTTTATCATCAATCCAATCTCCATCATAAATATTCCCATTAGCAAAATAGTATGTACCGTAACCATGTCTCTTTCCATTTTTTTCTTCCCCTTCATATCGGCTATGATCTGGAAATATACGAATTCCTCTTCCATTGGTTTGATCATTCACCCAGTCCCCACAGTATTGCTCTCCATTACTATAATAGTAAACACCAAACCCGTGTCTTTTGCCATTTCTAAGTTCACCTTGGTATCGGCTGCCATCTGAATATTGAAGTTCTGAAATGATATACTCCAAATTTATATATTGATTGAATATATCTTATGGACT